AAATTCCTTAATAAGTGGATATTTAAGATCCCTGGATCTGCAATAAATATGCCTTTCTTTTTTTTTTTTTTTTTGAAATGGAGTCTCACTTTGTATCCCAGGCTGGAGTGCAATGGCACAATCTCGGCTCACTACAACATCTGCCTCTCGGGTTCAAACAATTCTCCTGCCTCAGCCTCCCGAGTAGCTGGGATTACAGGCACCCACCACCACGCCTGGTTAATTTTTGTATGTTTAGTAGAGATGAGGTTTCACCATGTTGGCCAGGCTGGTCCTGAACTCCTGACCTCAGGTGATCCATCTGCCTCAGCCTCCAAAAGTGCCAGGGATTACAGGCGTGAGCCAATGCACCCATCTGAGATCTACTCTCTTAAAAAATTTCAAGAATGTATTATTGTTAACTTGAGAGACCATGCTGTACATTAAGTCACCAGAACTTATTCATATTATGACTGAAAGTTTGCACTCTAATTAAATCTCCCAATCTTCCCTACCTTCCAGCCCCTGATAACCACCATTCTGCTGTTTCTACAGGTTCAACTTTTTTGGATTCCACATATACATAAGATGATGCTGTATTTGTCTTTCTATGTGAGGCATATTGAAATATACATACAAAAACTCTACACTTCTAGTGTCTATCCCCACATTTTGTGTTCTGATACCACAATCTGTTTTTTATTCTATATATATATATAGACAAGTTATGGTAGTTCTAGTTATTTTTAATATTTTTGTATTTTAACCTTTATACTAGAGTTTATATTGATTTACATACTATCATTACAGTATTTGGGTATTCAGAATTTGACTATATACCAGTGGATTTTATACTTTCATATATTTTTGTATTGCTAATTGACATTCTTTCAGTTCAAATAACTCCCTTAGCTTTCTTACAAGGCAGGTCTAGTGATGATGAACTCACTCAGCTTTTGTTTGTCTTTCTCTCCTCTTCATTTCTGAAACAGATTTGCTGGGTAAAGTACTCTTGATGGCAGTTTTACCTTTTAGCACATTGACTATATCATCTACTTTTTCCTGGCCTGCAAAATTTCTGCTGAGAAGCCCACTGGTAGTTTAATGGGTATTCTCTTATATGTGATGAGTCTCTTTTGCTGCTTTCAAAAATCTCTTCTTGACTTTGATTTTTGATAGTTTGATTAAAATGTGTCATATCCCTGGTGGTCCAAATCTCTCCCAGATTTGGGAAGTTTTCAGTTATTATTTCTTTAAATGAAATTTTCTTCTATTTTCTCTCAGTCTTCCTTGGGAATTCCATTAATTCATAAATTCATTCTCTTGAGAGTGTCCCATAAATCCCATAGGCTTCTTTGTTGTTTCTTTTCATTCTTTTTTCTTCACTTACTGGATAATTTCAAATGACCTGTCTTTGAGTTCTTTTTTTTTTTTTTTGCTTGATCAAGTCTGCTTTTGATGCTTTTTTTTTTTTTTTTTTTATTCATTCTGTTCTTCAATTCTAGAATTTCATAAGGGTTCTTTCTTATAATTTCTCTCTTTGTTAACTTCTCATTTTGTTTACTTGATTATGTTGAGTTGTCTGTGTTGAACAGATGCTGAACACAGCTGAGTTTCCTTAAAACAATTATTTTAAATTATTTGTGGGCAGTTTGTAGATCTCCATTTCTTCAGGGAGAATTACTGGAAAATTATTATATTTCTCTGATAGTGTCATGTTCACTTGGTTTTTCTTGTTCCTGAAAGTAAAGACACCTGAAAAAGTAATCACCTCCTCAAGTCTCTACTGACTAGCTTCAGAAAGGAAACACCATCACCAACCGGCCTGAGTAGGGATTTCTGAGGCTCTCTCAAAACTTACCTATGGATTTGCCAACTCAACATCTCTTGTTCCCTCTTCAAGAAAAATGCTTAAGATTGTATGTCTTCTCTCAATCACACAAGCCATGGTAGGTAATAAAAGGCTACCATTTCTTATTCCTACGTCAGTGCCCTGAAATGCTTAAATTTGTATATCTTCTTCCTGTTTTTCAGAATCAGGCTTGTTGTCTGTGCAAGCTCACAAGCCATCTGCAGAGACTTTTACTTTCTGTTCACGGGAGCATGTACAGAGCCAGCTGTAGTCAGGGGCAGGAGTGAGGTACACAGTGTTGGGGGTTCCCATGAGCCAGCTGAAGGGGTCTGCAGGCAAGGTCTCCCAAGTAGCTCATGGGCAGGATTTCTGATGAAGTCTCCAAAGTAGTTAGTAGAATCCAAGGCCTTTGGTTGAGTTCCATGCCCTGGCTGCTGTGAATCCCCATCTCTCTTCCCTGCTTCCAGCTTCTCCCAGCCACTCAGCAGAGCTAAGCACCTCAGTATTCTGGGTGGGGCTAGAATCAAGGGGGCCTCTTTGGCACCACCCCATGGTTGAGTAAGCTGGGTGCTCACTCACTATACTCTCACTTTTTCCTGTAGGAGGATCATGGGCTAAAGGGATCTCTCTTGGTATTGAGCTATACCTAGAGGAGTGACATAGGTAAATGAAATTATTATTTTCTCTTCAATGCACCTATTTTCAAATTTTCTTCTTTAATGGTGTGCTGGAACTTGTCCACTGGACTCCCAGACTTCCTCAAAGGTACTCTCATGCATGTGTGGTTATTAAAATGAGTGCTTCTGTAGGGTTATGTTAATCAAAAAGTGATTCTTGCTGACATCACTCTCAAGAATTCTTTTAGGTGGGAAATAAAAGTCGTTTAGAATCAGACTGCAGAAACTCTGTAGAGCTACAGAAAACAAGAAGGTACATTACCAAGATCTGTCACAGATTCACAGAACACAGTAATTAAGGTCTGAAAGTCTTCCCAATCAAAGAACAGGAGGAGTTCACTCTGAGTTAACTGTTTAAACAGCATCCCTTGTGAAACAGAATTACCACCGTATGTTTTTAGATTGAACCAATTTAATTTCCTACTGTTTGCTTCTAAGTAGGAATTAGAGCTTTCATTCGGAATTGCTAATGGTGCCTATTCTGGACTCCCTTAGCCCAGAACAGAAGAAGAGGGAAGGACTAACATAGTGTGCATGTGATTTAAGACACAGCCAGAACCTGGTCACAGGGCTAGTTCTGCAACAGGCAGGAATAATGAAAAATTAATGAACCCACATGGTATTTATATGTCTAATTTTGATACTAATCATTTGTATACTCTAAGGAAGATGTTATACTTTTACAGAACCATTAAAATGTGCTTTAAACAAAAATATGTATATAATTCTAAAAGTATGTTTCACATTTCATTTCCCAGCAGATGTTCAGTCAATACATTCATGCAGTGACACCTGTAACTCACATGTGGTAGTTTAACTTAGTAACAGTTTATTTCCCTTTGCAATAAAACAATGATTTGAACTAAAAAAAACATAAAAGATGTATATTATTAAGGAAAGATGTTAACAGGTTAACAGATGAAAGCATATAAGCTGAGTGGTGAAGAAACTCAGTAGACAACAGAGGTCTTTTGGAAATCTGTTGGTGACTCCTCAGAGAGAGTCTGAACCCTCTTAGGTGATTCCCAAAATGGACAAGGGAAGAAAGAGAACAGCAAAATGTGAGAATTTGTAAAGGACCTCAGGTGACAAGATAAAGTTTCAGGGAAAGAAGTGAATTGGAAGTGTTATTTATTTCTGGAGACAGGCAGACCAGTCACGCCTATGACACAAGGTCAGCCTCTGCAGCATCTCTTTGATTTGTTTCTCCCACTCATTTTCTGTAGCCACTGCCACCCTCCAGATCCTGATTTCCTCACACTTGTATAGCTGCAGTGGCTTAATGGTGTGCTGAACCTGACCGGCAAGGCTGATATTTTCATCCCCAATTTATGAATGCAAGAACTAAAGCTCAGAAAGATCCACTCGCTTATTCAAGATTGCACATTTTGAAAATGGTGAAACCAAGACCACAGCCTAGGCATTCTGTTTCCAGGTTCGACGCTCTTTGCACCAAAAAGAAAAAAAGGATAATCATTTTAAAATCTTTTATTCTTGGACTCCAAATCTTAAGAGTGTCCCATTTTTCTCCCAAGACTGTGACAACTCTTCTGTTTGACTTTCAAGACCTTCCATTAGTTTGCTCTTGTCTGTCTCTCAATCCTATTTCCAATCACACTTTTAGCTACACTCCCACCTCTCCATCCAAAGCCTGGTTGGCTGCTTTGTGAGCTCACCAAAATCATTCCCACCTCTGCGCCTTTGTTTATGCCATTCCCCCCTTAAAGATCCTTACCTCCTTTATCTTTCATCCCTCTAGACCCCATTCAAATCTTATACATTCTGTGATGGTGTTTTCAATGTATACTCTCTGAACTGTCTATATTGACTGTTTCATCATGGAATATGACTCTTTAACGTATTTTCTTGGATTGTTCTCTAATTGTTACCCTTTGCAACAAAATACAAACCAAATTGCTACAGGCAGTCCTTTGCTTGTTTGTCTTTTCTTAACAACTACTTCATTTTATATAGCGATTTTTGAATTATCATTAGTCTAACATTAAATATATACCAGGACTTCTGTAAATATTTGATAGCTAGAGAAATACAGAAGAATCAGAATTAATAGGAAATATGAAGACTTGGAAATTATAAAATTTGTGGTCAAGGCAAAAGTTTATTAGGTGTGGTGGAAAATTTAAGTGACAAAATTATAACACAAACTGGTTAAAAAGAGGCAGAAACAGAGTTGACCAGCAGACTGAACCATGGCTTTTTTCTGTGTTTCCTTTTATCACAGCTCTGGCTTTCTGACACTCCACAAAACAAGGTAAATGACTTATGATTACTAAACAGACTAACCCAGGCTCAGAAATAATCCGTATTATCTGCAAATGATGATCACATATGTGCTCATGCATCCAGGGTTGTAGCTGGCATTTTATGAAATGACACAAAAGATTCTGCCCATCTTCAATTTTCCAAATTTAATGAGTGTCTTTTCAGAACAGAGGACTATAATAAGAACAAGATATCAAGAAGGTCATTACCCTTGCCCTTGTGGAGCTTTAAGAGTGTGTAGTTTGGAGGAAGTACTTATATCCATGCACAATTAAATAGGTCCGTTGCAGAGCAACCTGTGAACAAATGCGGGTCAAAATATCAGTATGTGTATCCCTGCTGAAGTGATGCTGATAAAAAGGAATAAAAAGAATCGGGTGGAAGATTTTCAGAACAGTGTCAGTAAAAATGATGAACTTAATTTTATGGGGAGAAAAGGGTAAAATATCCTAGTATGTGCAAAGTTATGGACGTAGAAGCAAATGCCTCATCACAGTGTACCTGGTAGAGTATGTTTTATTATCATCATTGTTATTAGTATTCCTATTTGATAATAGGAGATGGCTGAACATCTAAATTAAAATCTCCCAGGTCACACAGTGAGTTACTGGGTCAGCTAAAATAAGTGATATTTTAGGAACAGTTTACATCATGAAACACTGAAACTGTATATTTTTTCAATAAATGAAAATACCCTGGGTAGTCCTTAGACAACAATGAGTAGAAATTAAACTATATTTTTAAAGGGCTTACTTCATAAATATTGCAAAGATGGGGCAAAGAGCTTTCTCATTCCCCTAGTAAAGAAAATCAGGGTATTTTTTTAAAGGAAGAAGAATCATTAACAGTATTTCCTGAAGGAGAATACAGCCTTCCAGCATGTATCAGAATTCCACACTACTACCAGAATTCTAAGATTAAGGGTGTGTTTTACCCACACCCTAGATTTTTGGGAACACAGGCCCTGCATTATGTAAGATCTGCTGAGGACGAGGATAATGTGACTCTTCTCTTTACGCAAGAGCCCTCATTCTGGTCATATATATATATATATATATATATATATATATATATATAATATGTGTGTGTGGTTGACTCTGCAGATGTGGAACCCTACTATGTGTGTGTATGTATGATATGTATATGTGTGTGTGTGTGTGTGTGTGTGTGTGTGTGTGTGTGTGTGTATGCATGTACTTTTTAAAATGCTCTTTGTCCTTTAGCCAAACTGGCAAATCAGCCTGATTAACACACATCTATTTATCTCTACTGCCAGCTCCTATAAATGGTAGCGTTTACCCAAGACAGAAAAATCTCTTGGAATAACGAATATACTTGTTTCAACAATCTGCAGAGCCATAAAATGAGAATAATTCAGAATAGAAGAGTAGCTGGTTTCAAATACTATTTCATTTTCCTCCCAGCCCACTACTAGAGCCCAGTATACTACTGTATAGTATGGGCTTTTATGAAGGCTTCTATTTCCCACCTGTATTTCTTTTTCTTTTTCCAGCAACAGTCTGCCTTTGCGCCAACTCCTAAATAACCATAAATTTTGTTCTTATAAACCTTAATGAATGCTTGGCCAAGATGCTGTAACTATTGGCTTCTATATTGGAGCATAAATGGAAAGGGGGAAAAAAAGTACACTGTGAAAAACTGGATAAAATGGAAAAAAGATCACAGCAAACCCAAAGTCGCAATTTGCCTTTAATGTGAAGGAGGCCTTGTTTTCACGGTGTGGCAGCTTTCAGGGGTTTTAATCTCAAAGTGGCTGATCAATTTAAGGTAAGTGGCAGGCATTTGGCCTGGTTCCCAGGCTTTGCTTTGCTGCTCTGAGAAAAGAAAGGATTCAGTCAGACACACAGACAACAGGCATCATCAGCGGCTCCCACATTCCAAGCATTTTAACACAGATTAGGTTGGCATGATTCTACTGTTTACTGAAATCTCCTAGGTGTTGCATTTTTCCTTTTCCTTGCTGTGGTTATCCAAGATGGTTTTCTCAGGTCAAGACCTTCATATGCCAAATAGCTTGCAGCGCTGTGAAGGGAAAAGAAGAGCAGAGGTCAAGACTTCTGATTAAAATGCTATTTCACTTGCTTGCTGCAAAATATGAGACTTCAGACAGCAGGTAATTGAGCACTGAACTTTTTGCCTAAGGCATACATTGAGAGAGGAACTGTTTTACATGCATGCCTGAGGGGGAAAAAAACGAAGATAATTTCTTTAACAAGGACAAACTTAATTCAACTAGGAATGCCTAAAGGATTAACAGGGTGATCTGTAGTTATTTTTGCTTCAGATTTTATAAGCATGAGGCTTACAGATATGTTGAACGAGATTACGACCAATATAGTTCACTTTTAAATTAATATTTTTACACCATATAGTCTCTACTTTTTCAAAACAGTAATATTAAATGAGTTCAACTGACCCCTTACCACTGTCTCATGTTCTTAGCAAAAGTTAATTTTTTAAATCCATTTGACCTGTAACCTAGGTTAAATAAAATACATATTCTATCAATTAAGCCAAAAAACAAATAAATTGTCTCTCATACAGTTTTGCTGTATCATACTGTATAGAAAATTTGCATTTTAAAATACATTTTCAGTTTTTAAAGATCCTTTGCCTTACCTTAACATAATCAAGAACACCTTCTCATTAGTTATCTTCACGGCAGACCTCCTCATGTTTTATTTCTCTCTAAGAATTTTATCAAACTAAGAAATTTATATGTGGTTTTAAAAATAATTTTTCTAGCTATTATACTTTTCAAAAGCAAAGTTGAATTATTATATTTACTATACCTAGAAATGCCTTCCTAACATTTCATACATTTATATTGACTTATTTCTTCCAAAACTTACACATTGTTGCACTTAAGTAACCGATATTAAGAATAAGTACTCCTGTTTGTAAGGGTGAGCTTAGAAACTAATGCAACTATATGCAGTTATTTTCACTTCAGTCATTATATATGCAAGCATGGCTTTTAAAAAGGAATATATGACTTTTCACTGATTAAAGAAAAAAAAATGGAGTCAGTCACCCAAAATATTTTTCCTTTGCTTAAGTTTGAGCTGGGTTTCTGTCACTTGTCCCTTAAAAGAGAAAGATTAGTAAGTTTTCTGTTGGTCACAAATAAACTATCTCTGGTTCCAGGAACAACAAATTCAAATACATACCAAGCCATATTTCCATCTTCTATATAAAGAGCTTCATTGCCCACACTGGGGGTGTCCAGGCCTCCATAAAAGCATGGCCTGTGAGGTTTTCAGCTTCCAAAGTGGAGTAGGAAGGTGCTCAAGACTGGGGAGGAGCTAAAAAGAGAAGCTTTATTTTCGGACTGGTAGTAAAAATTGATGGGCATTTTCCAAAAATGTAAGCCTGCAGGAAGAAAGATAAATAACAGAGAAAAAGAGGTAAACAACTATAAAACGCATACTGTACCTAGGAAATAGGAAGAGGGAACACTAGCTAGAAGCAACATCTCCCATTTTCTTTCAGAGAAAATAGTGCATTTATTCTGTTTGCTATGGGCAAAGTTCTAAGATATGCTTTTCATATATACACAAAGATCATAATACATTGTCATTTTGTCACTGGGTCCTAATGCAGAAAGATAATGTTCGTTTATCTAAGTTGCTTACAAACCCTGCCATGTAGCACCTAAATATCCTAAAAATAGGAATTGGGCAAAGCAGAACATGGAGTAGACTTATGCTTCCAATTTCCAATTTCTAGCTGAAAGACAATGCCAGCTCTACACCATAGTTGACATTGGGCAATCTTTCTGTGCATTGGTTTCCTTTGTTTGTAAAATGGATTCAGTGAGAATACCTATCTCATAAGACTCTCACAGGGTTGTGATTCAATGGCCTAATGCATGTAACCACAGTACTATGATTTGATAATTGTTCCATAAAAATTAGCCATAAACCTTTACTATATCTGTTTGTATTTCATTCTTATTGGGAAGCATATTACACAAGTTTATTTCACAACATTGCTGTCAGATAAGAAATGTGTGGATTCTGTGTGATTATGGATATTAACTAGAGAATCTGTGTGTATTGTCATATATTTGGGAGTGTCTTAGCCCATTCAGACTGCTATAATAAAATACCTTAGGCTGGGTGCTCAAAAATATCAGTAAATAAATTACAATGCATGAGAAATGGTTTTTAAATGTGATGACAGTACATAATTTCAGTAGGGTCAGAGAAAACTGGGTGCTCATGTTGGAGGCTGACTTACAGACTTACAGGTAATAGCCATTTATTGCTCACAGTCCCAGAGGCTGGAAAATCCAGATCAAGGCACCAGCAAATTCAGTGGCTGGTGAGGAATCTCTGCTTCACAGAGGATACATTGTTGTTTCATCTTGACATGGCAGTAGGGGCAAGGCAGCTCCCTTCACCCACTTTTGTAAGAGGCACCAATCACATTCAAGAAGACAGAGCCCCCATAACTTTATTCCCAAAGGACACCCACTTCTTAATACTATCACGTTCGTTGGGGGCTAGGTTCCAACGTAGGAATTTGAGAGAGACACCAACATTTAGACCATAACAGGGAGGATGGGACTCTGTGTGTGTGTGCGTGTGTGTGTGTGTGCGTGCACGCATGCACACATGTGTATACATATGCATGCTGGTATAAGTTTACCTCTTGATTTCTCATGGTATTATGCTCTCAATTATCTTGCTTCCCCCCTCATCTTTCTTCCATGTCCAATTTGTCATTGACTCCAAGAGAGGTAGTTGAGGTATCTTTAAAAATCAAAGCTGGCCTTGAAATTAGAACCCCACATTAAATCTGTTATTCTGTGACACTAAGCAAATCACTTAGTCTCTCAAAGCCTCAGTTTGTCACCTACAAGTCAATGAGAAAACTATACAGGCTCCTAGCATGACACCTAACCCACAGTAGAGACTCAGGATACTTGGTTGAGTCTGCATCTTCCTTCATGATGTCTCTGAAATCTGTGCCTTTCTTTTGTTCCCTTTGCCACCCTGGAGCAGGCCTTCATTCCCTCTCATCCAAGGCTCAACCTTCAATTTAGTTTTCTCTGATCCAATTGAAGTCATGTACTGTCATCAGATTAAAAAATGTCTCACTGCATTGCAATGTATTTATTGGTATTTTTGAAGCAAACCAACAAAAATATCAAACTCTGCATATTTTCCTTTCATACTTTTAGGTACATATGTTGTCAATATTGCTATTCTCTAGGCCTATGAAGACCCTTATTGTTTAATTATTCCTAAATATTCTTTCACTCACTTTCTCTGTGCTGTGTGAGAACTCTCTCTGTTGAAGTCTATATTATATACTACTCTAAGTCCTAAAGATACCAAGATAAATGAGTCCAAAAAATCTTGGCTGTACCATTCACTTGCAATAATATTAATAAAAATTACTATTTATTGTACTTACAACTAAGATTTTATATACATTATCTCATATAATCCTCACAACAACCCTATAAAGTATTATTATTTTATGAGAAACGGTAGCTTAGGAATATTAAATACATTTCCCATTATATAGATAGAAAGTGGTAGAGCACAGATTTGAATCCAGATCAAAGCCTGAATTCTTAAGCTCTCAGCTACTCTGCCTGTGTTATTCTTAGAGAAATAATAGAAATGGCTCTACCATCAGACTGCCATAGATGTCATAAATAAATTGTCATGTCAGTGTTCCAATAAAACTTTATTTACAAAAACAAGAGACTGGCCCACGTACCACATTTGCCAACCCCTTCGATAGATAACTAAGTTTTTTTAAGTCCTGTTGATAAAGCAGTCATCAAGTTATAGTTTACTAAGAAAAACATTTAGAGTTTTCTAAGAAAGGATTGTTGATTTTTAAAACATTTTGATGAATCATATTAATAAATTCCCTAATATTAAGACATATTTGCTTTCTGTAATAAACTTTTTTCTTACTTTTAATATACTTTCTACACATAGAAGAGAAATTAAGGCCCAGAATATAAGAATCCAGCTCCAGGAGAAAAGGGAGTTACAGTGAAGAAATCCCAACATTCAGCATGCAAATTTTCCTATGAAGCATTTCCTGATTTCTGAAATGAGCACATATTGGGCAAGATGGCAGAAACTTGGCAGAAAACAGCTGCTAAGAAGCTAAAAACCTAAGCAGATATTTAGGCAATCTCATGGTATCAAGGAAACAAAAATTGGAATTCAGGAACCACCAAGTAAAAGAGATACTAGTAAACACTTCAGGCTTTCAATTAAAGCCCTGAATAAGATATATCCTAGGATTAAGAATAATACAGAAATATAAAAGCCTTAACCAGATTAAAGTGTTCTGCATGTACTCTTACCTGCCATACAGGAAAAAAAAATCAAATCTTCTCTGGAAAAGCTTACATCATTCAGAGACTCTACAATTTTTACAATAAATTTCTTATAATCGGTAAAAAAAAATCCTAAGTATACTAGGAAATGGTGCCAAACAAAAATAAAGAGAAAAAATAGACAATTAAAAATAGAACCATAGGTGATACAGATATTGGAGTTATAAGACACTGACTTTAAGGTAGCTGTAAACTGATATTTTGAAAAAACATAGATGAGAAAATTAAAAAAAAAATCAGGGAATTAAAATCCATTTTTTTAAGTATCAAACACTACAATTAAAATTTAAGAAACTACCACTTTTTATGTTTCATTGTAGTATCATAGAAGAATATTCACCATTTTCTGAAAAACACTATTAAAACATTTCCCTTTTCAATTACATATGCCTGAGCCCAGATTTTCTTTATGTACTACAATCAAAACAACACACCACAGTGGATTAAAGACGGAAGCAATAAGAGAATCCCACTGTCTTCCATTAAGCTGGGCATTTTAAAAAAATTGTAAAAACATAAAGCAAGTTTCTTTTTCTCACTTTATTTTTTTGTTTTAGAAAATACAGCTGTTTTCACTTATCTATATATTTTAACATGTAATGGGTTTATTGTTATTTTTAAATAATTTAATAAGTCTTTTAAATTTTCT